ACTGCCATGCATAGCTCTCTCCTTCCTCCCAGAGCTGCCGCAGACTCCAAGCTCCACACGCAGTTCTGGGCTTGGACCAAGGCCAGGGGCAGTAACAGCACAGAAAGGGTGAAGGGTCAGGTGCAGGGAGAAGGGCTTACTGAGGGCCACTCAGCAGGCGTCCCTGGCACGGGTTGGGGGGCTTGTCTGAATCCTTTTGGCCCCCACCTCTGCAGCTGGTTAGGGACTAGGAGGGAAGAAAAGGGAGACGTGGCAAGTTCTAGGCTCTGCAAAGAGCGCGTGTCAGGGAGAAGAGTACTAAGTTCTCTAAGGAAAGATCTGTCCAGAAAGTTGGGAGACTCTTCAGAGTTCAGAGCCTTTGCACGAGGTGGATTTGTCAGAACAGGACACGGGTGGTTTCCTTCCTGTATATGTATGTCTGTGTGTGAGGGGGATAGAGCAGAGCTGAGGAGGTCATTCAAGATGAAAAGGTGATTTTCTGTCTGGAGAAGTAGGGGCCTTCCTGAGGTGGTCTCCTTTTCCCCAGTCTCCCCCAGTCTCGGTCCCCTGGAGGACCTCCCCGGCACAGCTGGCTCCAAAGGCCACCTTTGGCTTGTGCAGTCGCTTGTCCTGCCCAGAATGTCACCCTCCTCTCTGACCCCTGATGGAATGACCTACAATCTGGGGTCCCACTTGGGCCCCACTTTCTCCCTGAGCTTGCCCTTCACTTCTGGGGTTGTGACAGTTGCCCTGGCCCAATTCTTATTCCTGTCTCCTCAGACTGGAGGCTCTCAGAGACTTGCAGGGCACCAGGTTGCCTGATGGGGGCAGAGCGGTATTTGAGGGATTACCAGCATCCTCTGTTAATCTGACACCTGCCCGCTTGCATCCTCCTTCTACTTTGTTGGAGGGCAACCCCCCCCGCCCCCCCCGCTCTGTGTATCCAGATGTCTGTGATCGGATGCAGGGGAGGCAGCATCCATACTCTCCCCTTCCCTCCGGGGGAACCTGGAGAGAGGCAGCGTAACGACCAGGGGGCGCTTGGACAATGAGAACTTTATATGGGAGGGTGGGGCGCGTTCGCATCCTGTGGGGTCCCAGTCAACGTGGGAAGATGCTGCCATCAACTTTCTCCTCTAGAATGGTCTCCACGCGCCTCCTCTGCGGGTGAGAGGGGTTGGGGCCAAGTGTACGGGGAGGAGGGCGGGGACCCCCCCTCCGCCCCTTCCCCGGCCTGTGGGCACCTCTTGACGGTCCAGGGGGTCTGGGATCCGCGTTGGCTTCAGCCGCGGCGGCAGGAACAGCTCCAGCCGGATGGCGGCGCGCGCGGACTTCTGCTGCAGGATGAGGAGCGAGATCTCCTCCACCTGCAGGTCGCGGGGTGGGGGTGAGGGGGTGTTTCTGAGTCTACGCGTTAAGTTTTGCCTTGCTCCGCCCGCCCCCTCCTGCAGGGCGCCTGGGCCGGTCCCTCCCGCCGTTTGATCCATCCCCACCCACCCCTTTCCTCAGCGGACCAGGGCCGGTCTCCCCACC